TCCTGCATTCTCTCCCGATCCGTCCTTCTCGCCTTACCCATCATTTGGCCTATTTCCAAAGGAGATTTAGTTTTAGGGATGCTTAGAGCAGTACCTTAAAAAGTAGGTACTACCTAGGTAGTAAGTAGTAATACGTACTTTGGTCCACCTTTCTCACCGCTTTCAATTCAGGAGAATACCCTAATTTACCGAGACACACTCTACGCTTCCCCCTCTGCCCAAGTTTTCTTGAACGTTTAACAATAACTGCATGTTACATGCTCAAATTTCCTGCCACTTCCACTTTACTCTTCACTTTTTATCAACTTTTACTCAACTTTCACTTCACTTGTGCCCACTTTGGCTTTACTTTATTCACTTTTGCCCACGTTTGCCCACTTTTGCTTACCTTTTTTCACTTTCGTTTTACTTTTGCTCACCTTTTTTTAAAATTTCGCTTCACTTTTTCCACTTTTGCTCAACTTTTTTCACTTTGACTTAACTTTTTTCACTTTTGCGCACACTTTTTTTCACTTTTGCGCACTTTAACTCAACTTTTTTCACTTTAGCTCCACTTTTTATCACTCTCACTTTCACTTTTTGACAGCATGTACACCCACTTTTGGAAGTGAGTACCCCCTCGATTACCTCACGCGGGAGCGCTGGGGCCCAGAGTCAGAAGGGCACAAGCGCGGAGGGGCGCAGGGGCACGGTGTCGCTGGGCCGAGGGTCTGAGGAGGTAGGCCAAGGAGGCGGGCCGATGAGGCGGGCCGATGAGGCGGGCCGAGGAGGTGGCGAAAGAAGGAAGAAGGTAAAATTTGTTGGACCTTAAAATGACAGTTTTTGGTCCACTGGTGGGCGTGCCAGTTGGGTGGTTCCCCATCCAGATTTCGACCAAAGTAGGTGCGTTTATCCCCAATGACGGTTCCCCACTATTATGTTATGGTTTTTCGTTTTTGTCAGTGGGAAGCCGGGATTGAGTCTATTGAATTTAGACTTTTTATACATCAATCGATTCGTCTCTCCACATCAACATTGAGCGTAGGAGCCGCAAATTGTCCCGAACGTTAGCTCGCGCTGAGGTGAGGGGAGCTCTGTGTGCCGCCAGACGCGCTCTAAACGTTGACTGAGAGGACTGAAGCAGTAAGTCCTCTTTAGTCGGCCTGCGCCGATGAACGAGCGGCTTTGGTAGGTAGCTGGTGGGTGAAGGGTGGAAATAGAATGGGTGGCGAATGGTCAAAGGTAAGAATGTTGGTCCCGAAAAGGACTTTTTTTATGTTTTCACGTTTAAAATCTAAATGCAAACTGATTATAAAAGACGCTTTCCATAGCAATTTAAGTTACGTTATTGCGGTTTTTTTAAGGTCTAGTTTGTCTATGTTTGCATGTATCTGCGTGCGTTAATTTTGTTTTATAATCAAGTATTTTTCTTTT